GTCAAGCTTTTGCTGCACTTTTCAACAGACTAGCTTCAATTAGTCTGTGACTTTGCTTTGCTTCTTTCTTTGTGGGGGGCGGGGGGTGACAGTGATGTCCCTTTGGGAACTGGGATCTGTTGCTTCTCTAGAAATTACTATTTAATAAAACATTGAAAATCACCTATAACTTGTGTTTATGCTTTTTTTTTTTTTTTTTCTTCATGTGATACTCTATTTTCTAGTAAATTAATTAAAGATTTGAATGAACCAGTCTGTTTCCGTACAGGCACTGCCAAGGCGCACAATGCAAATGAGGATGAGAAATAAATAAACATTTCTTAACCTCTCTGTATGCTTTATCTATGTTGACTGCCAAATACAGATATTACAATGATAGTAGCAAAGATGAAAGCACCCAGTTGCAGGATAAAGAGTGATTTAATTTTCACACCCCACAAATTTTGTGAAGTAGTAAACTTTATATTAAAAATCCTGAGATGTGACCGTATCCTATTAAGGGAACTAAATGGAAACAGACAGATGAAGTAATGTTGTCAGCTGAAATTTTCAGCTAATTTATTTTTCTATAACTGCACAGATTTGTGTACACTTTGGTGTACCATGCACTATGCAGGTTCCCAGAATGCATTGCTTTTAGTGTATCCCAAGATGACTATCAGTGCATTGTGGCTATGTGGGTCTGAAGTCCATCTGGCTGATGAGATAGGGAATTATCAAAATATAATATACTGTTGTGTCAGTTGTACATTTACTGTTGGATAGGCGATCACAGCATATAGGTTAAATTGTATTTTTAACCGTAAAAATAACTTCAACAGTGTGACAATGCGGGTCTGTAGGTTTTAAAGTTGACCTGCGATGATTCCCAAACTTGAAATGGTAGAGCAATAAATATGGTGAATAAATATATTTACGAGATAATATACTTCTCATCAATCTCTTTATCTCTATCATAACCTGACAAGTGTTGTCACTTCTGCACTGTTGTGAGAATCCCAAGTAGTTTGAGTTAGTAAAATAAAAAAATTAAAAAAAGATTAAGTAGTCTTTGTCTCTGAGTATTTTCTAAAGACTAAAGCTTTAAAGAGACACTGTAGGCATTAGAACTGTTAAATCTAATTCATTATAGTGCCTGGAGTCCTCTGGTGATGTTTCTCCGTTCAGTGTTAAACCATTTCTGAGCAGTTAACCTGTGAATAAGGGCTCTACTCACCTTCAGCCAGGCTCCAACTGGAGGTATGGCTAAGGCAGATACATCACCTACACTGTCCCTTTAAGGACTTGATAGTAGATGTGACTGGTAATTTAGGAGAGAAGCGCATAGTTCAGGCAGGTTTGTTGCAATAGTTCTTCAGCAGATCACCGTCTTTCATCCAGCAGCTGCATGCTTGGGAGCCTAAAATACTATTAGTACAACTAATTGAAAGCTTTGTTTCCGTGAGAAAATATGTTCAATATAATTATTTCAGAATCGCAGCACTTCCCTGTAGTATCCAATGTTCTAAATCCCATGCACCGAAGTGATCATGGTACAGTGCAGTCGCCGAAATGAGGACGTGCAGCAGACAGTGTAGTTAAATTTTATTTTATTTTTTTAAGTTACCATGGCTGCATAAATAAGCATCTGTCTCCGAAAGTCATGGTTCCTTTTTAACAGTCCACAATGGGCATTTTTATGCTGTAAATAATCATACTTTGTGATTAACATATAGTAAATACCAATTAAAAAAAGCAAAAGAAGTACTTGGGTTTTAAGAAAAGAGAAGAGTAACATAATGAGTAGTGAGTATTTTTAACACCCATGTTGTCAATTCTTTAGTTGCATGAACTTTGCAACTTCTCTTGACATAAACAACTGGGGAACGGTATAATCGGGGACTAAAAGCTTTCCATCGACAGATTTAACCCCCTTGAAGTCCTTTCGGCAAAAACATTTCCACTGACCACAAGAAACTAATTCTGCCAACTAAGAGAATTGGAAAGTTCTTCCCCAAGCTAGCAAGCCATCATGGCAATTAAAGTTAATGTAGATATGTAAAATTTATTTTAAAAAAGTTTGTGATATAACCATTTCAATTCGTAATTATTTCTTAACGTATCTTTAATCTTTAGCAGATAAAATAAAAGCATGGTGCTAAACAATGGGTCGGTTCAGATATTATTAGTCTTTGAGGGTTAATCAGGCTAAATTGTCTCAATGATGGGGGGGAAAAGGGTGAATTTTCATTTTAATAATGGACAGGGAGCCTACATCTAAAACAAAATACCCCAATTTTAAATATATTATAAGGTTTGTTGGAATCTTAGCCGGTAGTCCTATGCCACAAAACAGGCATAGGTAGATAGAAAAGATTTCAGCAAACAAGATTATTAGAGTTAGCTGAGTTTGTATGTTTAACATGGAGAATGTAATACAGTGATTTTGCTTTCCTACAGCTACATTTTGGGAACTGCGGCTTTAATTGTTCTGGTTTATCTAATGGAAATGGACCTGTTGAGAGTTGTTTACCCAGGCTTTGGTAATCACCAAATGCACTGTTGTCCAGCAGATTGCCCCAAAGATTTTGGTATAAACCCTGGTCAGTTTAATACTTTTATTGTATTATAGCTCGAGTGAAATATGTTCTTGGTGCCATATTGTAAAGTTCTCGGCTAGTATTTGTATATGTACTTCTTATAAAATTGACCACACAGCTATACATATGTATCTTTTGAAATGGCGTCACAGTCTAGATGAAAGTAATGTTAAACCATCCACTGTAGTATTGTATGTATATTCACACCTGCCTTCTTGGTGGTTTTGTTTTTTAGCTTGCCGCAGGTGGTGCACCCCCTTTCTTTGTACGGCGAGTTCCGGATCTCACCCATGGATATTTGAATTATTTATTTTTATTTTTTTTACACACACTTGGTATTTAAGGAGTGTGACAGTACACTTAAACCGTACATGTGGCATTAATTATGTGATATTCAGGGCATTTTAATTGGAATTACCAAGTGTTTTAAATGTGTAATAGAAAAGAGGTGCAAAAAAAAAAAAATATAAACTTCCCAATAAAATTATTTAGGCATCAGTGGTGGGTACATAGAAGATGTGAAGAATACTTTGTTTTCTCAATGTATTAATGAGCCACTCAAAATTAAATTAAAATTTTGGGACGTGGTAGGCCAAGTCGTTTGATGCTCATTTATTTACATGTGCATCTTTCTTAGTGAGTGCTATATCCTTTGTATGTTTTAAAGATTTTTTTTTTTCCTTTTTAATAATACAATACACTATAGATCCAAAGGATTATTTTTAAGTGATTTGTGTGTATGTAGTAAAGAAGATATATAAAGGTATTGTTCATGCGATTTGTACCCATAAGTTGTATTCTATGTAGGATTTTTTTTCCCTATGTTCGAACATCTTTTCAATATTCTGTTGGTCGTTAGCCTTGGAACATTTCAGGGGTTATGCTATTAAAGAGGCTGTACCAAATGATTATTTCTGTATGTAAGTTCCCAGGTAAGAGCATACATCTCTGACTTAATAACATGGCTATCAGTGGGTCTGGCGTTAAATTGATCCCTCTTACCCATGTGTTACCAAATCCTTTGTTTAGTTACTACTTTAGCAGCAACTTGCCAGTGGTAATGGTAAATGAGGGAACTAGGGGATTAGGAGTAAAGCTGTATGGAATCACCTGAAAATATGAAAAATTTTAAAAGGAATGCTTATTTTATGATCAGTTTACCAATGTTTATTTTATCTGATAGAAGCAAATGCTAAAATCAGTTGTTGGTTAGTTTAACACCAGTAGTTCTTAAAAAAATTTTTTTAAGGGACTCAAATGATGTGCCTGGCGTTTACTTGGGAATCCATTCTTCTGTTGTAAAAATGAAATCATTCTTATTTGTTAGAAGAAAACAAAATACAAAAGAAGAAAAATATTTGTTAGACATATACCACCAATGTCAGAGGAGTATCTATTGCATGGTAAAAGCAGTGATGGTACATTAAACCGCATATTGTGGGCGAATATAATGTTTTCACAAACAAAGGTCTAGTTTCAGGTTGTCACTAAAGGGTTAAGAACCAATGCTTTGCACTGACTATCTGATCGCTAGTGAGTCTGAAGGCTTGCATCAAAATCCTTTTGAAGCATCCGCCATCACCGCTATCTCAATGAGAGTCTGGTTTTTGTGCATTCCGTACAGAGAACCAATTGATTGAGTACATGTTAGATCCCCTATTTACAATATATGTAAACAAGGGCACCGATAACTTCATCTGTTTTCAGCATCATTTAGAAAAAGTTCACCCTGAACACTCATCTTACCAAAGTCCACATTATTTTCTTTCAATATATTTAAGAGCAGTTGGGTGACATAAAAAACATTGCCATATGCTTATGATTTTAGTCAAATATGAGTCATGCTCATTGTTTCCTCTTATCATTTTTCCACTGTCACAGATGGAAAGTGGCGCTATATGCGCGGAAATCTGTACATTTTTTGTTTTTCTGTCGTTTAACTCCTTCTGTGCTGAACTGGATTGCAAGAACAAATAATCCATCTCTAATTTGAACCCTTGAGTTTTCATACAGTTAAATGTTTATTCTTTAAAGACCCTATATTATTTAGGAGTCTTTTGTTGTGACCAGATTAAATATTTGTTTAGATTATGCTGTTCTCTAGCTGTTTTATTTCATTTGGTATACCTTTTTTATGATTTTATTATTTTGAAATGTTTCATATCATCTGTTCACCTTGTGACTTGTTTTGGCATGTGTGTGCATTTCTCCATTAAATTTTACTTTATTTTGCATTGTGTGTTGTTTTTTTCTTTTGCATCCACCTCCTCTCCACAACCAATAAGATCATTTGTGAAGTAGCTCACTCTCTGGCTTAATGTCAGCTTGACTTTAGTCACCAGACATTAGAGGAAACCTGTATAATCCCTAAACAGTCTGTTAAAGGTTTTACTAAGTTTCCATATTTATTATTGGCCTTAAAGAGACCCGCTAGGCACCGTAACCACGACACCTCATTGAAGGGGTTGTGGTGCCCGGAGTCACCTGGTACTGTCCCACTGTTCAATGTCAAGGTGATCTTCATTGGTTACTGAATGATTGTTGCTAGGTTCCCATTGCTCCACTCCCCACTAGGTGTAAGTAATGTGGAAAGTATCTTAAGAATGTAACTCTGCTCTAGCTATTCCATCGATGGGCAGCAGTGACAGCCTGTCGTTGCCCACCATTGCAGCTAAATGCAGACGTATGAGCCCTGGTAGCACAGAGGGGCTAGGCTGCATTCAGTTTTAAACCCACAGAGCATTCCAGGTATCATAATTACTTGTATGAGAGCAAGTGATTATGGTGCCCAATGCGTCCCTGGTAAATCTTTAGTTTGGCCTACAATTTACAATTCTCTTGTCAATGGGGATTATGAGAGTCTTAGTTGAACCAGTCTGAGATCTTAATAAATAACCCAATTTACAATTGTGAAAAGTTTCATTTACAAGAAAATGAATCATTGGTTCAAAGAACAGTGGTGAAGTGTGTTTAATCAAATTAAAAACAGGCCTTTTTTATCCCAGTGATGATGCCTTATAGCATAGGATAACAAAAAAGAAATAAAATCTAAAAAATAGACATACCTGGCACATCACTAAAATACTGTTATAGATTCAAGTTGTTTAAACATATTTGTTTATACTTTATAAAAAAAAAAAAAAAATTCTACAGTATATAAATATAGAATGCACATGGCTACAAACCGTAATAGGACATGCACATTGCTGTTATTTATACACAGATTTTTGCCTGTTAAATATGTACAGTACCTAAAATATGCTACAAAAAAAAAACCCAGAGTAAAACCCATTAAAACAATCTGCTCCATCCCAGAGGAACTCAAGACCTCAGAAGAAGGTCATCTCGTTGTTAGCAGATGGTCACACACAGGATTCATATCGGGGGTAGAAAGTATTTCCATGTTGGAACCAACAGACACATCGGTTTATAGTGATTGTTCATTTCAGTGCTTGGAAATTCTAGGTAGATGGAGAAGGTAAATAAAGATAAAGAGCCTTTTATGAAAAACAAAAACCATAAATTGGTTTACAAAAATAACCAGGTAACCATGCTTTAAAGTCTTGAGAGGGAAGGGAAGCTGAAAGAATCTAAGAAATCCCCATCAACCTGTGGCTGTAGAATGGTAATAAACTTTGAATAAGTTTGAAATTGTTTTGTGCATCACAATCAATCTGCTCAAATGAAAGCCATGTATTTTAGTAAAAGTAACCAGAAGAAAACTTGTCTTGAAATATACATACTTTGTTGGATTTACAAGTTAAGAAATCACAATCTCTTAATCTCCCTTTTAAGCCAGCAGAGGTTTATAAAAGTCTGTTGTCTAAAAAAGGGACACTGTAGACCTCGGTAGCTAATGTGAAGTGTTTTTTGTTTTTTTTTGTTTTTTTTACAAAAAGTGCAGATTTCAATACAACTTTTAGAAATGAACCTGGTTACACCACCCTAGCTGTCATTTAGTCAACCGGTCTTACTTCCTGGTTGTTTAGTTCAGTGGAGCTTAAATCAGGAGTCAGCCAGTTTATCAGAACACCTGCCTTGCATAGACTTCTCATTGAGCTGCATTGGGAAGTCTGTGAATGGACAGCAACAGAAATTGAGCTGGGGGAAAAGGGGAAGGGCTTGCAAAGGCTGCAGAGGAGAGATCTGCAGTTTTGGCAAGCTGTTTTAGAATTTACTCTTAATGAAAAATACATAATCCAATGCATGTATTTTCAATTTCTCATTTGGGAGATATCTACTAGACCGTTTTTTATTTTGTATTTGGGTAATTGAATGTCCCTTTAATCCATTGCTAGATGTTTTCATGTCCTAAACCTTAAAGGAACTCTAACATTGTATTATCTTAATATCTTATCTTGGTTATATACTATCTCTAGTTTTAAGTTAATTTATTAAGATATCCCTTGCCTATTTTTCCCACTACTCCTCTCTGAAAGCCATCTTTTTGCCCTTCTGTCAAATTCTCTGTTATCAGATCCAATGCATGCTATTTTGCAAGTGTTCATTGCTTCTCAACATTGGTTGACACAATAATTCTGCAGACAGCAAGAGACGTGATTTTGAAAAGCAATGGAAGGTTGCAAAATTATGAGCACTGGGTGAGAACTGAACATCCAACCAAACGTTACATAAAGGTGGCTGTCAGAAAGAGGAAACAGTCAAGTCATTTCTGTAAAAATAACAGAAAATTTATTTTAAAAAAATTGATGACTTTTCTTTAACATAGATATTGGATCTTCAAGCAAAATTGACTAAGTATGACATTTTATTAATAATACTGTCACACCCTGTCTCAAATACATGTAAAAGGAGGATGGTTGGGTAGTAGACTTTTTACTTACAAGGGGAGTCAAAGTAAGTTGGTGGCTTTGGTGCGAAATGTTTTGGACTAATGGACTGGGCATTCTTGAGTTATTTAGGGAATGGGGTGGTGGTGGTAGTCGAGTAAGAGCACCCTCTCACCTTATAGCTATTGGGACATGGAGACTGGGCATTCTCTGGTAATTTTATTCATAGACAAGAGTACCCCCTAGACCACTTGTTTTATGCTTTAACCCTTTGCATCGGAAGTGGAAGTTCGTACTTCCTTGAACATGGAGTAGAAAAAGTAAATTAGTATATTAGGCCCCCTTCTGTTGATCCCGGAGTCAAGGGCTAAAATTTCTTCAGTAGCCATTGACTATTGAAAATTCAGCTCTGGTGAGTGTGAAATGTGTACTCCAGAAAAGGCTGTAGTGAGTAACTTTCAAAACCTGACTGCTAGTGTAGAGCTTAGACTCCAGCAGGCCTTTAACCCCTTAAGGACCAAACTTCTGGAATAAAAGGGAATCATGACATGTCACACATGTCATGTGTCCTTAAGGGGTTAAAGGGACACTCCAGACACCCAGACCACTTCTGCCCATTGGAGTGGTCTGGGTGCCAACTCCCACTACGCTTAACCCTGCAACTGTAATTATTGCAGTTTTTTTTATAAACTGCAATAATTACCTTGCAGGGTTAACTCCACCTCTAGTGGCTGTCTACTAGACAGCCACTAGAGGGCACTTCCTGGATCATAGCACAGATTATCTGTGCTAGAGCGTCGCTGGACGTCATCACGCTGTGTGAGGACCTCCAGTGTCGCTCATTTCCCCCATAGGAAAGCATTGAAGTGCATTTTCAATGCTTTCCTAAGGGGAGCGCTAATGCGCATTAGGTCTCCCTGGCCAGTGGGTGGGATCAGTCTCGCCCACCAGCCGACGCAATGCGGTGGAGGAGGAAGCAGCGCTGTGGGACAGTCGCTGCCTTTGGTAAGTTACTGAAGGGGTTTTCACCCCTTCAGTGATTGGGGGGTGGGAGGGAGAGGGGACCTGCAGTGCCAGGAAAACGGATTGTTTTCCTGGCACTGGAGTTTCCCTTTAAGTTCATGCAGGATCACTCTGGTGTGGGACTAACTATGGTGCACACTAAGATTCCGCAAGGTTGCCTGAATGGCATTATCCAACACCTGGCTCCATTAGGCATTGAATTGATACTAAATAGGGGTCTGTTGGTTTCTAACATTCGGTAATAATAAATTGACCTCAATATATTTATTGCAATAAGTGTAATCCAGAAAATACAGTTGAAGTTGAGTGGAATGTGTGTATATAATATAGACACACATTCCACAGTGCATTAAGAAAGTATATAGACTCTTTTGGTTTTTTGAAACCATATACTGCAGTTTACAAACTTTTTTCCTTTCATGAGCCTACACTTAATATCAAAAGACCATATTTTAAATTTTATTTTTAAATTTATGAAAAAGAAACTGAAATGTTACATTGACATAAGTATTCAAACACTTTACTATGACACTTGAAATTCGGATCAGATGCTTCCCATCCCATCCCAATATTTCACCAGTGCCTAGTTCTATTCCCAGATGTAGAGCTCCTCCGGGTCCTCTCTCCCTCCCTCCCCGCCAGTATTACAGTTCCAGCTGGCCGGTGAGGTAGATCTGAGGCATGGTTCCTGGTGCTATGATTATGTGATTAGCAGCGGGGAAAAAAAAAATCTTGTGGTGCCCGAGCTGCTGGTCTAAAGTTTTTAGAAGAAAAAAAAAAAAATTGGACACAACAGGATAATCCCTAAATCCTGGACTGGTAGGGGGTACTTGAGGACTGGGTTTGGAACCAGTTCTAAAGTATTTTTATGCCCTGCACTTTTTCCCCAGCCCAGATATTTTGTGGCTGTCCAATAACAGATTTCCCAATGCATCTTAATAAAAGGCCTTGCAAGGCAGGTGCTCTGAGAAATTGCCTGACTCCTGATGTTATCTCAACTAAACTACACAAATAGGGAGTTGATAAAATAGTATCTCTCACAAAAAGTGTTTCTGGTGTCCACATGCAATACCACGGTTTCTCCCAAAAAGTGATTATAGTGGAAAATATAAATATTAACAACTTCCCTCAATAGCATAGGATATGCCCGAATCAACACATGTATAGTATAGGGCTATTCCAGCTAGCGAAGCAAAAATATAACCGTGTGTAATAATACTAGATATAAAATTAAGTGCCAAGTGATCACTCACACTTTGACATCAAATAAAGTGCCTTCAGAAATATATTGGTGTGTGTCTTCTTGCTTCAATGCTGAGTAGATGTTAATCTCATACAAAAGATAGAAAAATGCAAAAAAATAATAAAATAACTGATGTAAGTAATAAATGCTGCTTTTTGTACTTTATTTACTCAAAGTAAATAATAGCAGATGATGGAAAAATATGTTCAATAGTAGTCCAACGTGTTTTGTCCCTGTTAGGGACAATCTTTTACAAAATGCTGGATACAAAAAACAAAACAAAAAAACTCCCTATATACATCACCCACGTAGTCCCAATAGTTATTCCACAGGTGGTTCCGTCTTCTTTCAGCGGTTGTTGGTTCAATTCAGATCACTTCCGGGTTTCGGGCACTCGACGTCGTCACGTGACAGCGCAATGACATGGGTTCCACCTTTTTTTATTAGCAATTATAGTGGAAAGCGGAGAGGTTTGCATAAAGTCCACAAAAAGCAGTTTCTAGGTGGACATATGGGTGGGGTATATACAAGAGGGAGTGACAAAATAATAAAAGGAGTTACTACTCCATAGTAACATAAACAAGCTTTATTGACAACAAAAAAAAAAAAATCAAGATGAAAGTGGATACATACTTATATGCATGCGTGTCTGTTTAATGACACACTGCATAGGATAATATGTACAAGCCAAGATGCTCCAACTAGACCCATTAGGGATGAAAAAAACCATTATACAAATACCTATCAAAAATTAAAAGATTATAAATTAGAGCATACCCAATACCCCTAAGAGACTAAATAAAAGATATACAAGTCTCCTTTAGGGGCTGTATTTTAAAGAAGAAAAAAAAAAGAACTTTCTCTTGGCTTGTTTACTATTATTGTAGAACAAATATAGGCAAATTTATATACATAGATAAAATATACGTAATGTATAAAAGACAGAGAAAAAGAAAATAAGAAGCAGAAAAGAAAGGAGTGATTATTCCAAAAAGCACCACAGATCAATATCTGCATTTAATCCTCCTGGTTGTAAGTTTTTCAATACATTTATCCAATAAGTTTCTCGCTGTACTAGTTTTTTGATAAGATTACCACCCCTTCAATGATTATTAATTTTTTCTAAACCTACATAGTCACTCAATCTCAATAATCACTCCTTCCTTTTCTGCTTATTTTCTTTTTCTCTGTCTTTTATACATTACATATTTAAATTTGCCTATATTTGTTCTACAATAATAGTGAACAAGCCAAGAGAAAAGTTCTTTTTTTCCCTTTAAAATACAGCCCCTAAAGGAGACATTATAATAGAGATATATATATATATATATATATATATATATATATATATATCTATCTCTTTTACTTAGTCTCTTAGGGGTATTGGGTATGCCCTAATTTATAATCTTTAAATTTTTAATAGGTATTAGTATAATTAAAAGGAGATATATTTTTATTTTAATACATAAATTCTTTTAACTTTTTTTTAGCATTTTGTATTATGTTTCTTTCATCCCTAATGGGTCCAGTTGGAGCATCTTGGCTTGTACATATTATCCTATGCAGTGTGTCATTAAACGGACACACATGCATATAAGTATGTATCCACTTAGGTTTCATCTTGGATGGTGTGTGTGTTTTTTTTGTTCTTGTCAATAAAGCTTGTTTATGTTACTATGGATTAGTAACGCCTTTTAATTATTTTGTAAATACCCCACCCATATTTCCACCTAGAAACAGCTTTTTGCGGACTTTACGCAAACACCTCAGCTTGCCACTATAATTGCTAATAAAAATGAAGGTGGAACGCATGACGTCATTGCGCATGTCACGTGACGACGTCGAGTGCCCGAAACCCGGAAGTGATCTGAATTGAACCAACAACAGCTGAAAGAAGACGGAACCACCTGTGGAATAACTATTGGGACTAAGTGGGTGATGTATATAGGGAGTTGTTTTGTTTTGTTTTTTGTATCCAGCATTTTGTAAAAGATTGTCCCTGACAGGGACGAAACGCGTTGGACTACTATTGAACATATTTTTCCATCATCTGCTATAATTTACTTTGAGTAAATAAAGTACAAAAAGCAGCATTTATTACTTACATCAGTTATTTTATTATTTTTTTGCATTTTTCTATCTTTTGTATGAGATTAACATCTACTCAGCATTGAAGCAAGAAGACACACACCAATATATTTCTGAAGGTACTTTTTTGATGTCAAAGTGTGAGTGATCACTTGGCACTTCATTTTATTTCTAGTATTATTACACACAGTGTTGCACTATGCTATATTTTTACTTCCCTAGCTGGAATAGCCCTATACTATACAAATAGGAAGTAACAGAATGGTCGACTAAATGAGTCAGTGGGTTGTAACAAGGTTAATTCTTAAAAAGTGACAATTTCTTTTGAAGAGTATGTCCTCTTTAGCTTGCTGAAATGCATTGGAAAATAAAGCAAAAGTCCTTTAGGAGTCCTGAGTGTCCCTTTAAGGGCATTTCTTAATTTTGAAATGTCAGCTGTTTATTAGCTAGTTACCCAATTTGGTATCCTTACACATGGCAATCCCACATAATGATCCCATGTTTGTGTTATATTGAGTGTTTTGGAATTTCAAATACTTTCTCATGAAATTCCCATAAAGAATTTTTATTCACAGTAAGTTATGTAACTACAGTATTGTAGCTGCTCCCTTTATATCTTTAGTTGCTAAATAGATATTAAAAACGTTTGCTTGTATTTAGATCATATTAGACTCCAACATATTTCTGTAACTCCTGTTCATCAAAACACAAAACTCACAAAATATATATATATTTTTTTTTACAAGTTAAGGCATTTATTAGAAAAAAAATAACTCACAGCAATGTTTAAAGAAACATTTTACAATAGATTCTACCTCCTAGTCATTTAAAAAACAAAAAACAAACAAAAAACACACACACCATGGTCATGCCTGTTCGACTTTACAAAGAATAAGAATTATTCAGAATAGATATATCAAATAAAATAAAAAAGTGCTTACACAAAATCTCAATAAAATAAACATTACATCTGAAATAAATATGTACAAAATTACAAAACTGAAAAGTAATTCAGGCACCCCCAAAAAAATAAAATATGCATATAAAAAAAAATAATAATTGTAAAAATTGACTTGGCTTAATAGGAGCAATTAATGTTGTCCTACCAACACCTCTTCAAACCAGGAAGAATAATATAATTAGATACATGAATTCCTCATATTCACTGTAAGAATGACCGTGTCCCTAGCAATCTATGAGATTGATATATTAACAGTACAGCTATAATCTTCCACGTTTATAAGGCTGTATGTTTAGCTTGTACTGTGCAACATATGTATAGCTTTGAGCATGCACATTAAAATGGAGTGTTCTTACCATAACCACTACATTATGTTGCCTAGAGAGCCTTGGCACCATCATCTGGCTTCATATCAAATGCTTAGGAGCAGTGTGATATAAACCTGGGAATTTTTTGTTTTTAAATTAAATGGTGAAGAGGCACATTAGCTACCATAACCACTACAGTGAGCTTAGTGCACCATATTACTTTAAGTTCATCTGAGCAGTGACCTAGGTCATCCAAGTTTAGCATATGAGCTTGTATATAATGCAAAGACAGGGGTCTGGAGTATATTTAAAATAGTATTAAATGAGGGCTAGGGACACATGAGATTTGTCCCCCACAGGGCCATTTTCTTACCCGTACAGGATATACAAACAAAAAAGAAAGAAATTTGTATATATCTCAACCGTAATCACATTTCACTGAATGATGTATTAATTCAAACAAAAGGGAATATAAAAAAAAAATATAAAAAGCGTTCATTCTTCCACTTGGAATTCTTAAACAATGCTGGCCAAATTAGCCAAAATGGATTTGTAGAACTTCAAACTGGAGTTAGTTTATTTTATTTCCTTGACAAATCCCATGGCATATGCTTTATTAAATGTCCATGAGCACCAAATTTGAGAATATATATATATATATATATATATATATATATATATATATATAGTATCCAGGTACATAGATAAGTGCTCTAGTTTTCATTACTATATCAATACTACAGTATAAAGGAGAAAAATACATTTATATACACACACACACACACATAGTATAAAACCAAAAAAAGTGCATGCCCAATTGGCAAATAAATACAGTTTACAGTGAGAAATACAATATGAAAAAAAAAGAAAAAAGAAATGTAATTATATATAAAAAACATAGCCACATCTGTACACAGGGCTAAATTTGTCCACTCACCTACTAGCCATTGGAGAGTAAAAATTTAGCCTTGGCAAGTAGAAATTCTCCCCTTGTATTCAAGGCTTGCAGTGGCAAGTTACTTTTTGGCCTGTCTTGTAGCATAGGACCTGAAATTTTGAGCCCTGCATATATTTACACACTTTAGTATTTATGTAGACCAGGTATAGGCAACCTTCAGCACTCCAGAGGTTATGGACTACATCCCCCATAATGCTGGCAAAGCATCATGGGAGGTGTAGTCCAAAACATCTGGAGTGCCAAAAGTTGCCTATGCCTGATGTAGACGTATGTCTTTGCCCCCCGCCCTCCCAAAAAAAGAATGCTACAGTGTTGCGTCTAACATACATGAAGTTAAACCAAACACTACAGAGTATTCTTTCGCTAATATTATACACAATACCGTTTAATAAAACAGTAATAATATGAACTAAAAATAAAAGCAAGATTAATGGAGGGATGGAGAACAAAAGAAAAGGCAGTGTGGGCAGTAACCGTTCTGAGCAGCCAAAGTATTCGTGCACATTAGAGGAATGTTCCAGCGAATCTGGGTTGCATTTTACCCAATACCTTTAAAAAGAACACTATATATAGAATATATAAAATCCCTGAGTGTTAATTTATATCTTATATTTAAACATCTGTATAAGGCTCAGCACTGTATTTCAAAAAAGTTAACTAGCTTTTGTTAGCTAATTGTATCTTGGGAAATAGTCAATTGGGTTATTTAAAGAGGACAATTCAAAATTAGTTTTGATTAGTTTTTGTCCTGACCTGACTGACATTCTCCATTTCCACCTCCTTGTTATATATTGAAAACAACCTCAATAACCTGGAATGGGGCAAAAAAAAAAAAAAAATAAAATAAAATCCCAAAAAACACTCCACACATGTATCATACAGAACACTGTACCAAATGAGCATGTCACAAGAACATTACCTCCTTCCCCCAAATAATCTCTTATTAGATTATCTTTGGCAGCAGAAAGACCAGAAATTTGGCAAGTCCATTAGCCGTAATCTTTCAGTACAAGCAATAGTTTATTTTCCTGTATTGCTTTTGGATCCTTATTCGGTTCCCTTTTTTCCTTTTGGCACAGACCTGGTACCTCCTAATTTAATGAAGGGTACTATACGATGAGGCATTGATAGCTGCCTCCTCTGTGCCTTCTTCACTGTACAGATACTTGAATCCATCATAAAACTCTGTCTCCATTATATCCTGATGAGCTGACTCTGAAGCACTGGTGAGAGGATCTTGAAAAGGCTTGCTCATTTTTTGTCTAACGACAGTCACAGCCTGTGCATTGCACCCTTCAGGAGAAGATATATTAGCCCTTTTCTTTGACCGAACAGCTTTGCTAGTAGAAATAAAAACATACACGGAGTTGGATGGCATTAGCCTTTCAAGGTGACGGTCAATCATTTCCTTACAGTTGATAAAATCTGCATTTTCAATCTGAAAAGAGAAAATCAAAATTGCTAAATTAGGTCAGTTAAAATTCCTTAACCCCTTAAGGACTAAACTTCTGGAATAAAAGGGAATCATGACATGTCAAACATGTCATGTGTCCTTAAGGGGTTAAAGAGGTTTAGCTAGTTAGCCATATGTAATCATTACAGGATTGCCTCAAATCAAGACAGGTATTCATAAACAGTCTTACCTTTTTCTAAAAGTTTAGAATCTTTGTTTCTAAAGGTCATATTTTCCTCAATCCATATACTTTTCTTCACTCATCTGACCAGAGACTACTTAAAGGAACACTATAGGGTCATGAACAAACATGTATTCCTGACCCTATTGTGTTAAAACCACCATCTAGCCCCCCAAATCCCCCTTGCCTTACTAAATATAGTAAAATCTTGTTTTCAAATCTGCAGACATCATCAGAAGTGGTGGTCTGAGCCAGTCACAATGCTTCCCCATAGATTGGCTGAGACTGTCAAGAATGCAGACCAGGGGCAGAGCCAGCACAAGTCAAACACAGCCCTGGCCAATCAGCATTTCCTCATAGAGATAAATTGAATCAATTAAACTCTATGAGGAAAGTTCAGCGTCTCCGTGCAGAGGGTGGAGACACTGAATGACAGTGCCCCAGGAAGCACCTCTAGCAGCCATCTGAAGAGTGGCCAGTGGAGTCATCACTAAGCTGTAATGTAAACACTGCATTTTCTCTGAAAAAAACAGTATTTACTGCAAAATGCCTGAAGGGAATGATTCAACTCACCAGAACAAATGCAATAAGCTGTAGTTGTTCTGGTGACTACAGTGTCCCTATAGTGCAGTTTCCCAATCACAGCGCCAGGCAAATTAGGTTAACCACTTAAGGACACATGACGTGTGACATGTCATGATTCCCTTTTATTTCAGAAGTTTAGTCCTTAAGGGGTTAAGCAGCAGATGATCAAATAACAGTAAAGTCTATTTTGAGCTGTCTGAGTAGCCATTTTAGTCTTTCTGCTGACCTAACTCTTACAACATAAGCACACAAATACTAAAAAAAGTAATTTTTTTGGAGACAAAATATGATATATCTATATAGATATATCAGGTCTTGACAAATTTGCTTTGAATCTAGGAGCCAACTTTAATAAAAAAAATAAATAAAAAAAAAATAAAAGTTAGGAGCCATTTTTTTTTCCCAATGACAAAAATACAATTCTTAAAGGAACACTATAGTCACCAGAAGCACTGTAGCTTAATGTAGCAGTTCTCGTTTCTAGAGCCTGTTCCTGCAGGCTTTTCAATTTAAAACACAGCCTTTGTAAAGAAACATTGATTTCATTGCATCTCTGGGAGAAGATGCCAATTGGAGCAGCATTTTGCCGTTCATGCTCAATAGCTTCCCAACACATTCCTATGGAAAAGCATTAAATTGGCTGAGATCAAGATTGATAATTCAGTTATGTGGCGAGCTAGCTGCAGCGACGCTGGCACACCATTTGAAAAAGGTAAGTAAAAACCACCATTCCCATGTGATTGGAGGTGAGCTGGTGACCTAAATCTACACATTGACAGACAATATTTTTTATTATTTGATAGTCAGATAGATATACACATACAGATTCATAGATAGACACAGACAAATACACATACAAATATACACAGAGAAAAAATAAATAAATACATTATTTTATCCACCCTCCTGTTTCCTACCTTGTGGGCAAAGGAGGGAGGCTTTTGTGTGGTCTAGTGGGATTGGGCAGCAGCATGTTACAGTGGGGCTGGATGCGGCTGATGGGAGTGAGCTGGCGCTGGTCCAGACTCCCCTCCTTTATCCCCGTGCAGCTCTCTGTGCGCTTGGGATGAAGATCGGGAACTGAACTACTTTTTAAAATTTTAAATTCAATAGAATTCCTGACAATTCAGTAGTGCTCACCCTTGTTTAATAGCATTAACTAGTTAAATACACTTCAGAAATATACAAACAAAACAGGGTTATGGTTTAAAAATGTTAGGCCAGACATTTTAGTGGATCACCCTAAAACAGATTTTCTTTCCACATATTCACTGCCACAGCCATTTGGCTCTGGGTGAAAATGAAAAACATCCTTATCCAAGCTTGATCATATTAGGACAATTATTTGGTATCTTTTCTCTGTAAAGCGGATTACTTACAATTTAGGACAGTAAAATACTCAAAAGGTTTCTGAAACTTGCCATATTGGAAGCTTCCTCCCACCAGCCATAAATTGCATTAGACCAGTTTCAGCTTCCTTTCATACTCAGTCAGGTGCTCCTCCCCTATACCACAATTTATTCCTATTGCATTTTCTAACATACAGTTTTGCACACTATTGCATCAAATTGACTAAGTCCAACATGTCACATAGCAGTTTGCTTGGTTAAACCACAAGGAGGTGAGAATGCAAGTTTCCAGCCTTTGCAGTTACTAACCGATGTTATACACGGTTGATCGTGTTTTATGTATAAATTATAGAGCAGAGGAACAACTACTATCCCCTTGAGATTGCAGCCCTTCTGCAATGATGTGATGATAATGTGACAACGCAGTGCAACACTTTCATGCTTACCTTTGATTTCTTCAACAGCTCAGAAGTAATCGGGAACCAATCAGCAGTCATCAACTCCAACTCCAAGCTGATGATTACCAAAGCTAATGTGGAGCCTTTAAATTGCAATAACTGGTGGCAAGCCATGCAGTGCTGCACCTGTCTAGTCAAGAGTGCAACATGGCGAGAGGGATTCATTTGAGGATGGCCATGGAAGAACGAAGGCCAAAGGGACATCACCATGGCATGAAACTGATACAAAAAAAATAATTATATATTAATGTCTTTGGTCAATTGTCTACCATTCATGTATCCTCCTGACCAAATGAGGCAACCAAAATGAAGTTTACATTAAAAGGCATTTGTTTATTTTTTTACATGTGTTAATCCATTATCAACCATTAGACTTTTGAGCTTCTATTGAATGTAAGAGCAAATTTAAACATAGCCAGTCTATTGTGTTTCCTTAGTTGCAGTTACATAAATCACATTTCCTTATACAGTGAAGAAAAAAAAAAAAAAATGAGAAAGAAAAAAAAAAAAATGAAAGGGAATCAAAACTGGGAAAGAATTTTAAACGAAATTGTGTGCAAAAACTGTAAGTCAAGTGATAAATTGCATTCCTGAGCAACTCAACACGCAATGTCTTTTTGCAAAAAGAGTCTAGAATCTATGAAGTCATTGTGACAAACAAAACTTAAACTCCGTTTCCACACTTTTCCGCAATACTTTGTTTTAAAATACAGGGACAATACCAGCAAATCTTGAAATCTAAAAATTGATCATTTCCAGTGGTCTAACCTTTGGTTCATTTTCCAAAAGAGTAAAATCACACCAGAGGTTTAAGTCGTAAATTATTCTAGATGTGCTAGAATGAACAAAGCGAAAGCCTTGCCAAGGCAAAATCATGCGCTGCTAGCCTCTTGGGTATTAAACAGGGTTAAAAATGTTCAGTCAGCGCATGGTTTGGTACAGACGTTTAATTCCCTGTGCCATGCAGTTTTGCCTTAACATGCACATAGCCCTTTCTCTGCTTAAATGAGTCCAGCTCCTTCCACCAACATAAAAAGATCACAGAGAGCTATTGGCCTTTTATACAAGAGACAGATAATATTTTAAGTGCCAGATGAACAGAATGTTTAAAGAGCAGCCAGTGTGGATGAACTGGAAGCTTTCATGGTGCCTGGTGGAAAAAAAAATATATATATATATATATATATAAAAAAAACACACCCACCAGACAGCTTTCTATGTACAGTATTAGAGAAATATTTTTGCAATGTTACAAAGATATCATCGTGTAGAAATTTAAAGAAGAAAAAAAAAAAATCTAGATTTTTTTTATTAAAAGAGAAAGATAAAATGAAAAAAATAATAATAAAAAAATATTGTTAGCAAAGAAAAATAAAGTCACTTTTCTTTTACCATCAGACTAATTTGGTGACTGGTAAATAGTTTCAAAAACATAGACCTTATTTGGCATTAGCAGACATGTGCATATGTGTTCCTGTTGTATTTAATAAACTGCTCCTATGAGTTGCATATTCTTACAATGTTAAGGAAGTCCACTGGTGTAGCCATGTACAGATCCCACTGCAGTTTATCCAGTATAAGTCTTTCCATCCTCAAGATCTCAGCAGATGAACACATGCACTCACTCTGTTCTACAAGATCCTTCACCAATGGTATTACCTGTAACAAATGAAATTAAATAAAGACGGAGCCAAAAACGTCCAACTTGTCTTTGTGTATTATGTATTCTGGTATATGGGTTGGGGGAAGCGCAATTCTAGAAAGAGAAAGTTACACAAAAGGGCTCAAAGCTTTCATTTGCCATTAGTGAATGAAAATTTAGCCCTGGTGAGCATGGTAGAACTAGGTAAATGAAGATGATGAAGTTACCAGTATGCCATTGCAGCTATGTCAGCCAGACAGCATTAACTAATACAGAAAACCTTTGAAGAGCAGAGGACATTGGAAGAAAACACTCACAATATGGCTTTAATGGACATTAAAAAGGCACCAAAACAGCTTTAGTTTACTAAAATCATACCTGAATGTCAGTGCTGCACACTTTGCAGCACTGCCCCCAGGAAGCACCTCTAGCAGCCATCTAAGGAGTGGCCAGTGGAGGTGTCCCTAGCTGGGCTGTATGGTAAACACTGCCTTTTCTCTGAAAAAAAAAACAGGGTTTACCGCAAAAAGCCTGTAGTTGTGGACTATACTCACCAAAACAACAACAACAACATTAAGCTGTAGTTCTGGTGACTATAATATTCCTTCAAGTAAGTTGGCATCTGATTGAAAAATGTAACCATTTTCTTTTCATGCAGGACGTGTGAGTCACGGCCAAGGGAGATGTCTCACAGCCAGAAGAAGAAATGGTTACAGTACATGAATAAATAATACTTGGAGTTCAAAGAAATTTAAGCTATACTAGATAAGCTTGTATTACTACATGAGTGTGGACAAAAAAGGGCAATTAAAAAAAAGGGAGCAGAAGTAGATTAAAAAGCAAGAATCTTGGGATGAAAAAGCAAAATATTTGCACCTCTATTCTAAGAGCAGTATCCCTATCTATATATGCCGGTGTCTGTGCCTATGAATTTGTGTCTGGTTTAGTATGTGTGGGTACCGGTGTATATATCTATGTAGCCAGTCTATCTGCCCTCATGTGCGACCCTGCCTTGGGCCCAGAAGCCAGGTTAACCCAAGCAACGCCTCCATCACCTAACTATGACAAGTTAGACCTTCACCTATTATAAACCAAAAATGCCCACGTGGATTTTGAGGTTTTGGTTATCTTTAATTCCATGATGGTCTTGACATGGCCGCTGCTCTTCTCCTGGTTAAGCTCATCGTCATTAGTGACCATCTCAACCATTCAAATTATTTCTACAAAAGAAGTGGTGCACAGATCTACACCAATTGCCACGTATTGTCAGGGTATTTATATCGGCAGACATCTTGTGCTATGATAGAAATTAAAAGTGTATATTCCGAGTCACTCTGAACAGATCAGACTCCATTTTGTTATTCTCAAGTTAACAAAAAGACACAAGATTTCTATCTGTAAAACTAACCAGTTTCCCAGAGCTAAAGGAATGCATAGTATAAACAAACCAAGTGATAAGGAGAACGGGGGTTGGATAGACTGTCTAAAATGCTAATGGAATATAATAAATTCTAAACCCAGACATTTGTGACAGAGAAGATTATATAATTTAATTTTACTTTCTATATATGTAAAAGGTACCATTGTAAGTTTAAGGTTAAACTTAGTTCATGATCTGCCATTTTAGAAATTATAGCAGGAATTGCAGACACTAAGTCTGGACAAAACTTAAAGAAACTGTTTGATCTGACAGCAAAAATGTAAGTTATGGCACTATAAAAATAGGCCAAAATGACGTCAAAATAGCCACCAAGAAAAGTTCCTGGATAGGTATGTTTAGTGGGACAAGACTGCCCTCTATAGACCAAATAACTAAATTGCGATCTGGAAGATAACCACACCTCTAGTGCTTCTATTGGGTTATCAACTGATGACGTACAGAGAGTCTGGCCCTTTAAAAGTTAGGACAAAGGGAAGATAGAGGGTATGCAAAGGAGAAAGAAAAAGAGGAGAGAGGAATTGGAAGTTTGGGGACTCCAACTCACAACATCTGAGACTAACACTCTACTCTTAAAACTCTAACACTTAGAGTTTTATTGACTTTCTAACCAACACCACCTTTCACCATAACTCATGCACCTACAGACATCCAAATAAGTTCCTGAGACTATCTACCAATCGGATGAAATATCTACTCAACTGGTAATTATACTGGTTTCATTTAATTAATTAAAATGTATTAATAGCAGGATATATGACTGGATAAAGCACGGTCAGATTTCCATATTAAGAAATCTTAGTTAACTAAAGAATATATAGTTATAAACATTCCATTCTGCAGGTGGAATTAAGAATAATTATATATTGATGTGATATTATCACGTGGTAGCATACCGCTGTTTTTATCCAGGTGTATTGATTTGCTCTAATATAAGATAGATATCTTTTAGACAAATTAAAATCTGCTTATATAACATGGTAGATTCTCTTATTGGATGGTTCCAGGAAATGTCTAATGAACTGGTTTAAATGTTATTTTAATTAAAATTACATAAGAATAGATCCTAATTACTTAGGAGATCTAGCCAGCATTGAAAGGGTTATTCTAACTGTTAGCCAGGGTTTTATGGCCCTTCGCTGTGAAAAGCTTTCTCTCTGTGAAAGATACCTCATAAATCGTGTAAGACTTGACAGAAAATGCTGTTTAGCCATTGAAACGTGTATAGCCATTCCTTTGTATTGCATATCATTTTATACTGGATATTCATTGATTATTGTCACGCATGTTACATATTATTAATTAATTTGTCATTATAAAATAAAATCTATTTTTATAACATTGTGATTTATTTATATGGTATACATTTCACTTAACACGATAACGATATTTGGGATCTGAGAATTGAATTAGTGGGCAATTCTCACTGTTACTATTATTATCCCATAAATATCCCCACAGTATAATCAGGATGACCTCAGAGATGCATTGTACCAATGTACCTGTGGTGAGCGAAGTCTTTTCATGCAGAGTATGGAGACCAGGAAAGTATTTAGAGGCATTCTTGGAAACAAATGTAAACACTGCCTTTTCACAGAAAAGGCAATGTGTGTTTAAACAGACTGTCCCTGCAGGCGAGGAAATATAATCAACGGAACCACCACAGCGTAACGTAATTGTTTTGGTGTAGAGTGTTCCTTAAATCATAACATAAAGTACTCTTTGCTCGGTCTATCTTATCATAGTTTTTGATTGCAGTGAAGCCACTTTAACTTTAATCATATGAACCTTAAGGACTTATAAAAGGACTTATAAAAGGACTTATAAAAGGACTTATAAAAGGACTTATAAAAGGACTTATAAAAGGACTTATAAAAGGACTTATAAAAGGACTTATAAAAGGACTTATCTTTGTAGAATATAAAAATTTGCATCATGTGTGTAACAAATGGTCTAATTATACCTAGAATAATCAAGCCAGTTATAATTAGAACTAAAGATAAGTTATGTTGCAGGGAATATGGATATTTGCAACAGAGAGATTACCATGTTGGGTCGTTTGCTGCTCTGCAGTGAGTCAAGGCTTGTGTATGCATTGAAAAAAAAAAAATATCCCCTAGAACCAACCCTGTCTAATCTGATAGAATAATTACATACATAACAGCTAACCCACCTTTGACCTGGTCACTACGGAATATTTCAGCTCTTACACCTACAATAGTATACTTCGCATGGTCAGCCTACTTTAACCGGCCACAAATTGTCCTTCATGCTATACAACAGTTTATAAGAACTCAAACACAATGCATCTAACGTTAAAAATGTAGGTTAGCACTTGTTTGCTCTGTGGTTAAGACTTCCTGTAGCATAGTTTTCATATTGTGTGCTGTCGTTTTAAAGTTCTTTTTTAAATTCTAGAAGAAAATAGCAATTTTCCAACAAGTTCTAACTTGTTTAGTGAAGTTACATTTTCAAGTTTCAAAGCCATTGATCATGAGTGTTTTAATAAACAATGGACCCACACAGCATTACGCTACACAATTGGTGAGTGCAGAAGTGTAATGGTGCTAAAGAGATGCGGAGTCCCTGACCCACTTAACAAAAAGGCAGAAGAGCTTTGCATTCTGGAGAGCTCTATTCTATACACTAGTGAAATCAGCAAGTCCTTTGCTGTGTTAACACACTGGTGAAATACACAAATATAAAGACAAATTAACAAGATAGTCATGCAAAATACATAAATAAAGATGGAAGCGCAACTATAATAGTGCACAAAGAGCACCTTAAATTTTTTTGAAAAGAAAAGCAAGAATACAGATGTTTCAAGCAGAGCCCTATCTCAAAGCATCTTGAAGAACAACATTTATTCTATTTGCTTTTCCCTCCTTTTTTTTCTGTATTTGACTTGGTCTGTACACTGTGTGGGGGACAGCTGCACGTCTTAAATTTTAAATTGCATTTTTCTACAGGTACCATGGTAACCCTTGCCTCTATATGTCTGTGTGGACAGGGTAGTCAGACTGAAAGTGCTGGAATGAGTCAGCATATTGTCAAAGCATGCATTTTGTTGGAACCAGAGTGATTGAACTAGTTACTCAATATATCCTACCTCACGTTCCTCATTGGCTTTGGCTGCAAGGTACAAACACGTCACAGAGATACATCGAAGGTACTTTGCCTGGGCCTGTAAAAAAACAAAAAACAAACAAACATTTAGAATTATGTATATATTTTTTGACATGCCAAACATAATTTAAGAAGTCTGAGGCTGTGACCTGTATCAGCAGTTTCACTTAAGACTGAACTGAAATCAAAATGCTAAATTTAATAGATTTGAAGAAATTTGCCAATGCAGAGCGGATGTTTTCTTAAAGGGACACTATAGTCACCATAACAACTACAGCTCAATATAGTTGTTCTGGTGTGTATAGCATGTCTCTAAAGGCTTGTTAATGTAAAAACTGCATTTTCAAATAAAAGGCAGTATTTACATTGCTGCCTAGTAACACCTCTAGTATCAGTCACTCAGAGCCACTAGAAGTTCTCCACGCTCTGCATGGAAACTCTGAAAGTTCCTCATGGTGAGGCATCAATTCAATGCATTCCTATGAGGAGATACTGACTGGTGCTCCGCGCCATTTTGCCATGCGTGAGTATTAGCCCCCCCAATGCTTTGCTATGAGAAAGCATTGTATTAATCTAGATAGTCAATATTTATGTTATGTTGAGTCAAGAATGCTGAGGGTGGGTCGGTGGATCCAGCCATAACAGACTCATAAGTCACTAGAATAAAGTTATTTTTTTCAACACTAGTGTCAGGAATACACTTTTCTATTCCTTGCAGTGTTTCTTTACAAATTTAGGAGCCAGTTTTTATTTTTCTCCAATTTGAAAAATAAAATAAAAATTAAAGCACAAGGTTACTAAATCAATTAGGCGCACAAATTACCAAGCTCTTTGGTATTGGTAAAACCAAATACATAGATTATACAAGATAATTAACATCTCTTTATGTACACGCTTTGAATACTCAAATATATAATTTAGGCAGACCATCTCATTGACATGAGTATGATGGACATCCCATTCCAAAACCATGGCTATTAATATAGATTTGGACCCCCAATGCAAATCTAACAGCTTTTTCTGCCACCCATCTGAAACTCCTAAAACTGATGCCACAAAGTTAGAGATCAATTGTGTAAGATGCCTTTATACTTTGTTGCATAAAAGATGACCCTTCACTGAAACTAAGGGGTCTAAACCAAAACCTGAAAACCCCCCACAAAAAACACAAACCCAGGGCCCTAGACCATTTTTCCCACTTCCACTAAACTTTACAGTAGAGGCTATACATTTCCATGGCAACACCCACATCCAGATTCTTCCATCAGACTGCCAGATAGTAAAGCATGATTTATCACTAAACAAAACTATTTTTTTCACTGTTTCTGTAATGGCAAGCTTTATGAAAAAAAATGGCAGCATTGTGATACGCTCTGATGATTTCCAGTAATGGTTGCTTATCAAATGTTCGAGAAGTGAGACTCTGGGAATTCACAGCCCTATTGAATTTACGTAAAGGGTATTGCATTTATATATCTGTAGACAGGTAACCTATTGAAATCCTCCATATAAGTATCCTGTTTTTTTCCCGCTATACCATTGTTACAGGTTTTAACTCGTTACAGGTTGAAGCCTTCATTTTGCCTCAGAAAGCTACGTCTGATGTAACACTGTGTTAGCCTTCCATTATGCTAGCATACAGTAATAAAGACTTCTATGAGGAACGGACATCTGGAAAGCCTTTATTATTCTATTTAAAGCTTTAACTCTGACACTTCAGCATCACAATTATGTCATTACTTGGGGTCCACCACTTTGTTGTTGCGCTTTGTACCTTCTATGTCACAATAATACCCCTTACAGTGGACCAGAAATTTCATAAATTGACTTGTGGCAAAGGTGGCATGTTATAACAGTGCCATGTTTAAAATGAATGAGCTCTTTAGTACATCCCATTGTATTGCTAAAATGGGTCTATGGAGATTTCATGGCTCATGGCTATGTGCTGCATCTACCAGTTAGAAATAGGCAAGACAAACACAGGAACTCAATTAGTAAGAGCATCCATATACTTTTGGCCATATATCTTATGACTGCAGTACAAGTGGTTGCAATGGTTCTGATCCATGGAGACTGTTACTGCAGCCTCAGTATTTGCTTATTTAAAAAAAAAAAAATGGCAGTGTTTTTAACCTGCTGCTTAAGGTTACCTCTAGTGGATGTCACTCACATCTAGTAGAGGAACTTACTAGTTTTGGTCCTGCAAAGATTGCCAGGCTGACAATAAGCATCTCTAGGAGACACTGAACGCTACCCAGAGATACATTGCATAAATGCATGTCTGTGAGGAGATGCTGACTGGTGCAGTGCACTCATTTGCCATGCATGTGCACTAGCTGATCAATACTTACCTTTGGGGACTGGCTGAGACTAGCATTTATGATCTCATTCGGGGAGGAGGGTCAGTCACAGAGAAACAAGGCAATTTAAACGTATTTTTTATTTAGGGTTGCCCACATATCCAAATAGTTACCAGAATATTATAGTATGAAGAATACATGTTTGTGTAAGCTCGTTTGAGCAGGGTGCAAAAATAGGTAGTTAGTCCACCTATTGTACAGCACTAATCAGAACAGTGTTTCTTCAAAGAGTAACACTGTGAGGGAGGAGCTGTGCAACCTCCTGTGCCCCTTAGTGCTAACTGGGGAGTTCTCTGGACTCCTCAGACAGTGCAAAACAATGCATAATCAGGTGAGTCTCCAAGAGCCTCTATATAGTGGACCTAGACATGAGCAAGCCCCCTATGAGAATCATTAAAGAAGAGATTACCTTCACAGATGCCAGAATGCGGTTAAGAATGCTGACTGCCAAGAAAAAGGTCTCAGGATAAAAGTGGAAGAGTGACCTTAATTCTTCAATCCACAGCACAGCCTGCTCATACTGTGATGGAGAGATATCTGTGCCCTGCAGGATGAAATATAAGTTTTCAAGTCAGAGTGTGCACGCAGATTACGTTTTATACAAGAGCTACATTCATTCAGCGCACATAAAAAGGTACACTCCACTGCCCACACTTGTTTAAAAAAAACAAAAAAAACTGTTAGTAGATATACCCCAATGAAATCATGTATGCGTTTAAATTATGCATTTTGTCCTTAGGGATATATCTAAAAGTTTGTAGAAGCTACATATTTCTTGTCTGAATCCATTACAAACCCGTCCCCTTCTCCCCCAGCCCATGTTTTTTTTTTGGCTGTCAGAAATGCAGCTCAATAAGAAGTACAGTATATCCTCGAGTATAAGTCGACCCGAATATAAGTCGAGACCCCTAATTTTACCCCCAAAAACTGGGAAAACTTTGACTCGAGTATAAAACTGGGGTGGGAAATGCAGCAGTAGTGGTAAATTTTTTAAATAAAATCATATCCCCCCAAAAAATATTAATTGAATATTGTGTGTGTGTGTGTGTGTGTGTGTGTGTGTGTGCGCGTGAATGCAGTGCCTTGGTGGGGGGTGGACATTTTTATTAATCATTATTTTAACATAATTTTTTTAATATATTTTATTTTATTATTTTTTTTTTATTATTTATTTATTTTGATTTTTTCGAACCCCCTCCCTGCTTGATACATGGCCAGTGAGGGGGGCTCTCCCTCCCGGGTGGTCTAGTGGCATGGGCTGTGTAGGTGGGGGGCTTACCTTTCCTGCAGCTCCCTTCCAGTCCGGTCAGCTCCCCTGTAAGTCTCGTGGTCTCAGTGCCGCACGGAGCTTTGCCACGGTAACCTGTGGCAACGCTCTGACCCCGCGGCTCTCGCGAGACTTACAGTGGAGCTGACCGGACCAGAGGAGAGAGAAGGGAGTTGACAGGAGCTGCAGGAAAGGTAAGTTACAGCTCTCTGTCAGCCCCTAACAGGACCGCCGTGCTTGTAATGAGCCCGGCGGTCCTGGTCTGTATTATGGCAATGTAAGTTGCCATAATACAGACATTGACTCTAGTATAAAACGAGTGGGGGTTTTTCAGCACAAAAAATGTGCTGAAAAACTCGTCTTATAGTCGTGTATATACGGTATTTGCAATGCAGGTGCTCTGGACAATTGCTGCCTCTTGAGTTTAGCTCCACTGAGCTAAACAAACCAGAAAGTAACATGACTAATTGTCTGACAGTGATGAGGGTAGCAAAGTTTTATTTAGAAGTAAGGTTTTTTATGTAAATTGATTTAGGAGACTTTAGGATTTCACTTCAAAGACTAAGATAGTCTGTAGTGGGTACCTTACTACTTCTTTTCGATTCAGTGAAATCATTTTGTCATCTATTGATGAAGTTTAGTATCACTAGATGTGGTGTATGTGCACGTGTTTAGTATAATAGTGTGTGTAGTGCCCTTAGTATTAAGGGACTTCTTAATTTAAATTGACAGTTTCACTTGATATTTCAGTGTTCCTCTGGTGTCAATACGAATTAATACTGGAATCTCCAACCTCTTCTTTTCTTTTTCTGTTACTCAATTAGGGGTTAACCCCCATGGAGGTTCAAGTAATCTAAGGCTCTTTTCTTTTCTTTCTTCATTCTTTCAAATTAATATTAGCAAAGTTAAAATCTGCACTTTTCCATTTGACAAAATGGGACACTATTTACACATAAAGCTCTTCAGCAAGCTTAAATGGACACTATAGTCACCAGAAGAACTACAGCTTATTGCATTTGTTATGGTGAGTATAATTATAATTTCAGGCTGTTTGAGGTAAACACTGTTTTGTTTACAGAGAAAAGTGCAGTGTTTAGATAACAGCCTAGGAATCGCTCCACTGACCACTCCTCAGATGGCTACTAGAGGTGCTTCTTGGGGCAGTGCAGCACTGGCCTTCAGTGTCTCCACCCTCTGAACGGTTAGCAAAGCTCATTGGCTGATGAGAACAATCACAGTAAGGATTAGGAACAAAGTTAAACAGATACCACGTGGTTTGATTACTTACATGGGGTGGGGGGCACCAAGGCACTCTGTAGTGGTTATGGTGCATACAATATAAAAAAGTTCATACCTACAAGATCCAGCTCACTCACTAAACAGCAACTCCAAAGCTCGCAGAATGTACAACACATCTTTACTCACAAAGTGACAAATAATAAAAAATAAAAAAAAACTATACAGGAATCTGAGGAGTCTGCATGCACCTTGATGGTGGATCCTTGAAAGGAAGGAACCTTCAATTTGGTGGTTTCTGACTGGAGGCCATTCTCTAGCTGTGATGCAAGACGTTGGCTTTCCAAGAGGACAGTGAATTTCATGGTACTTCTTGACCGGTCCAATTTTCAATGGTAGGCACAGATATCTAAAAAATAAAAATAAAATTCTAACTTAAAGAGCACTCTTTTAGAAATATCAAATCCAATTTTTCACTGTTGATATCAAGGTGCAAATTACAATGTGTAAGAAACGTATTACCCAAAATAACAGGACAAGTCATGTGATATTAAACAAACCTCTTCAGTCTGTCACAATCATCGAAAATAGGATTGGCAGAATTGGAAGACCAGCATTAGTGAAGTGGCAGCAGGGCATACGAGCAAATTAACACACTGCGAAAACAGTTTGACCTAAAGTGCCCCTTAAATGTATTGTTCAAGAGTCACACTAGGTTTCTTGAGTACATATACATTGGATACATTTAAATAAGGAAGGAAGGGTGCATAAACCTGGTGACTATGAACTTTGAGGTTTATAAGCAATATTTAAAAAAAAAAAAAAAAAAAAAAGTTTTACTTTTCACAACTATAAAGCGGAAAAATAGCCAAGTCTATCCTGGTTGGATTCTATTTTCTGCAGTCACACATTGAATGTATTCGTGAGAGTACACCATGGACAAAAAGTGATTGTCTAAATGAGAACTTCTCGGGGAAATTACACCATTAAATAAAATTCAAATAAAACAAAACCCCCCACCTATAAAACTGTACTTTCACTTCTCACTTGGGATCCCTTCCCTTAATGAAAGTAGCAAGCTTATAACTGTGATCTAAGCCAGAAGGTGCAAGGCATGACTCATAGCTCTCAAAATCAGGACCCCACAAGAGTCAGAGAGCTGGGCCCAGCAGACCCCAGGCAAGAGTCAAAACAGTTATCAAATGATTAAATACTTAAAAATGAGGGATGCCAGGGCACAACAGCACGCTGTGCTAGTTATGGTGCTTGGAGTCTTCCATTAAATGTACATGTCATGCCAGGTGTGTAAGGCAGGGCACATACAAACATACATGTAAAAATGGTGAGACTTAATCAGGAAAGCAAAACGTATAGGTAGCTTTTAAATATTGACTTTTGAGAGTCACCCCTGGAGGAATGGCTACTGCAGAATGTACTCTCATTAGTCATACCAATGATGATGTAGAGTGTTAAGCTGATAGAGTCCGTTGAATATTCTTGCTGCTGCCAATCACAATCCAAGCTAATGTTGAAGCATTAGGCAGAGAATCAGAGAAAGTCTGACTGAGCGCAACCCAACAACCTCATTCACTATTAAAAATCAATCAAAAATTTTTTAATCTATAACAATGGGATGTTGATTGGGAACTCCAGGCATTTTATGAGATTAAGTTTTTATGAAGCCTAAAGTGTTCATTTAAGCCGGGGAAGCTTGCTTTAAAATTAGGTAGGATAAACTTTCAGAATTAAAGATATGGGCTATGTATGTGCCCTCAAAAAACAGTATACTAGATAACATTTAATACCACAAGTTGGCATTTTTTGTCACAGTATGACATACAACTTTACTTCAAACATAATATAAGAAAAGTGGTTACAGACTTGCAGCTTTTTAGCTTAAAAAAAAAATGTTCAAGTCATTTTGATAAACACCATAGAACTCTAAGATTATGTTTATTCTTACCATGGAATTATACAGAAACCAACTGGGCATTATGGGTTTAATCAATAACACATAATGATAGAGAATAAAAAACAAAAACTGAATGGCAAAATATAAGCAATAATAGTGGTTTTAGAAATTTTCTACGCAATAGTAACAGGTTGGCTTTTTTTTTTAAAAAAACTTTTTTTTTTTAAACTAATTTGTACTGAATTCACTAATATTTGGGATTTTGTGACTTTACACTTATTTGTAAATAATTCACAGGGGTCTCAAGAACCACCACTGCATCACATAACGACTCAAATAGATTACAAAACAAGCAGTACAGAGAGGAAAGCGTAAATAAACAGCACACCATATTACAAATAAACAAACAAGAAAAAGTACCGAAACTTACATAAAAAAGGGAAGTCACGGGAACAACAACACAGCAGTAATAAAACACACAATACACACACATATGAACAAAGTTTCCCAGCGAGTAGATCAGATTACTTAGGGGAAAACATAAAAAGTTACCAACCCATAGAAATTGTGGGAAATTAGTTTTGTAATCGGCTAAATAGATATATATTTATACACATTTCTAATATTATGTTCTATATGATAAGTGAGTAATGTAGCTCCCCCTCACCCTTACAAAAAAATAAAAATAAACACAGAAGTAGTTTGTTTGGGTTCAGTATTATCCTGTAGTAATAATAATAATAATAATAATAATCCCACCCCCATCTGACAGTTAGGGATAGGCTGGGGACCGTTGCAGACCCTCTCAAATCTCAAACTATTTGGGCGGGACCCAGGTCCCCCCACTCCCCCATGTATGTTGGGGTCTCACCTCTCCAAGGCAGCAAGCACTGAGGTCAGCACCCCCATCTAGGGCCCCCCAGCTCCCTCCATTATTGGGGGCCACTGGCGGGGTCCTGGCAGCGCAGAGAGGGGCTGTTACTGTGCACAGGGTCGGCCCCCGCATCCAGGGACATATCAGGCGGCTGTGTGCAGGCAGGGTGCAGCCACGGCCGGCGGGGGGTCATCAGACTGGGCGGCTCAGGTATCGGGGTGCTTTGAGGTGCTGGGGGGAGCAGGAGAGATCCTCAGGCAGCTTATTGTTTACAGCGACTGAGGGGGGAGGAGCCTGCAGGGGGTTTGAATGCAGCAGCCACGCCCACAGAGTGCGTCACTGACAACGTGACTCCTAGTAAATCAGCTCTGCTCATGTACACACCCCTTTCTCACATACACACTCAATCTCTCACACACACACACTATCTCTCATATACACAGTCTCTCTCTCACACACACTATCTCTCATATACACAGTCTCTCTCTCACACACACTATCTCTCATCTACAGTCTCTCATATACACAGTCTCTCTCTCACATATACTATCTCTCATATACACAGGCTCTCTCTCACACACACAGTCTCTCATATACTCAGTCTCTCTCTCTCACACACACTATCTCTCATATACAGTCTCTAATATACACAGTCTCTCTCTCTCTCACACACACACTATCTCTCATATACACAGTCTCTCTCTCACACATAGTCTCTCATATACACAGTCTCTTTCACACACATTCCCTCTCACACACACTATCTCTCATATACACAGTCTCTCTCAGACACACACACACACACACACACACACAATCTCTCATATACACAGTTTCTCTCTCACACACACAGTCTCTCATATACACAGTCTCTCTCTCACACACACACTATCTCTCATATACACAGTCTCTCTCTCACACATAGTCTCTCATATAAACAGTCTCTTTCACACACATTCCCTCTCACACACACTATCTCTCATATACACAGTCTCTCTCACACACACACACACACACACACACAATCTCTCATATACACAGTCTCTCTCTCACACACACAGTCTCTCATATACACAGTCTCTCTCACACACACACACACACACAATCTCTCACACACACATTCCCTCTCACACACACAATCTCCCATATACACAGTCTCTCTCGCACACACACATTCCCTCTCACACACACTATCTGTCATATACTCACACACATTATCTCTCATATACACAGTCTTTCTCACACACTGTGCAAATATTTGTATGGTAGGAGTACACATAGAGACACATTTTGTCATTTTCTATTAAATAATTATTAATTAATAGAGCATTAACTTACCTGATTAATAGAACAATAACTTACTTGGAAGTCTCACTAATGTCACATCTTGTAAATTCCCACAGGACTATTGTTCATGGTATGTGCTTAAAGAAACACTCCAGACACAATAGCCACTACAGGCCAGTGTCCAGCTCCTTTCAGAAGGTGTGATGTGAGTTCAATAGTAAACGGTATGACTACTTACTCTGGGAGAGTACCTTGGCACTCTGGGTACCCGTAATCACTATAGCAGGCTGCAGTGTTTATGGTGCAGTGAGTGTTGCTTTAATGCTCCCATTAAAAATATGGTATTTTTAGTCTGGGGCTAACTGCATGCTGAAAATATTAAATGTAAATATTCAAATTGCTGTGTTCAGCTCTGTCTGCTATTCTAAAAAATGGTCTAAAACGTATTGCCTTTTATTTGATTTAACAGATTTAATAAACTGCGCAAACAAAAGAAAATCACCAAAAAGATGCAACACTGCAACACGCTGTGCTTGGACATGTCATTTTCAAAATCTTTACCAAACATTTAAAAGCAACAGAGCTTCAAATAATAAAATATTAACATATAGGTGATTTTCAATGTATTATTTAACAGTATAATTTGCAGAAAAGTGGCCTTTTTCTTTAAAGGGAGACTGTAGACATTAGAATCACTACAGCTCGCAAAAAGATCTAGCTTGGTATCAAATAGAACAATCATTAGTAGAGACTGAAAATCTGAATGCTCTGTTTTGGGTAGTAAGAAAGGAGAAAAATAGGAGTAAATCAGTATGCTCAGGAAACTCGATTATTATTTCTAATATTTTGGGATACTGGAATAAAATCACGAAAGACTGTAAAATAGAATATAGATTGTTTCCATTTTTACCCAAGGAGGTGATTAAGGGGAATATTGAGGATCTGAATATTAGTGGATGGGTACAGAAGGGAATTAAGAATATCCAAGAGATTATTGAGAGAAAGGAAATTAAGTCATTTAATCAGCAACAATCAGAGTTTGGGATTGATAACAACGAGATATTCACATATCTAAGAATTAAGGGTTTTTTTGGTGAAATTATTGGATTTCCAGCTTAATAAAATCTCAAGTAATCTTAAAAAGACTCTGGAAAATCAGGGGGAAAAAGGCCATATTACTAGATGTTATGAGTTCTTAAAGGATTCTAAGAAACCTTATGTCTGGAAATCTAAGAATAAGTGGGAAAAAGACCTACATATTGAAATTACTGAGCAAGACATGATAACTGCGCTAGTTAAGGTAAATAAATCGGTACATTGTTTGAATATAGTAGAGAATTTCTATAAACTCATTAATAGTGATGCACCGAACGGTTCGCTGGCGAACAGTTCCCGGCGAACATAGCGTGTTCGCGGATGGCGAACACATACGCGGTTCGATCCGCCCCCTATTCGTCATCATTGAGTAAACTTTGACCCTGTACCTCACAGTCAGCAGACACATTCCAGCCAATTAGCAGCACACCCTCCCTAGCAGACCCTCCCACCTACTGGAAGGCATCCATTTTACATTCATTCTCAAGCTGCATGCTTAGTGAGAGGAGGAAAAGTGTAGCTGCTGTTGATTAGATAGGGAAATGCATAGCTAGGTTAGGGTATACAGTGTCCACTACAGTCCTGAAGGACTCATCTGATCTCTGCTGTAAGGAAAGCACCCCAAAAAGCCCTTTTTAGGGCTAAAACATCAGTCTGCTTTTTTTTTTTCTGTGTAATGTAATTGCAGTTGCCTGCCTGCCAGCCTGTGTGTCAGGCTCACAGCATATACTGTGCCCACTTGCCCAGTGCCACCACTCACTCACTGGTGTCACAATAGCTTGCATTTAAAAAAAATAATTTTTTTTCACTATAATAGATTGAATAGCAGTTAGTTGTCTGCCAGCTTCTGTGTCAGGCTCACAGTGGATACTTTGCCCAGTGCCACCACTCACTCACTGGTGTCACAATAGCTTGCATTTAAAAACAAAAAACTTTTTTCACTGTTATAGATTGAATAGCAGTTAGTTGTCTGCCACTGCTGCCAGCTTCTGTGTCAGGCTCACAGTGGATACTGTGCCCATTTGCCCAGTCGGTGCCACCACTCATATCTGGTGTCACAATAGCTTGCATTTAAAAACAAAAAACTTTTTTCACTGTTATAGATTGAATAGCAGTCAGTGTCCTTAAAGCGGGTGTGTCAGGCTCACAGTAGATACTGTGCCCAGTTCCACCACTCACTCACTGGTGTCACAATAGCTTGCATTTAAAAACAGCACACCCTCCCTAGCAGACCCTCCCACCTACTGGACAGCATCCATTTTAGATTCATTCTCAAGCTGCATGCTTAGTGAGAGGAGGGAAAATGTAGCTGCTGTTGATTAGATAGGGAAATGCATAGCTAGGTTAGGGTATACAGTGTCCACTACAGTCCTGAAGGACTCATCTGATCTCTGCTGTAAGGACAGCACCCCAAAAAGCCCTTTTAAGGGCTAGAACATCAGTCTGCTTTTTTTTTTTTTCTGTGTAATGTAATTGCAGATAGTTGTCTGCCACTGCTGCCAGCTTCTGTGTCAGGCTCACAGTGGATACTGTGCCCAGTGCCACCACTCACTCACTGGTGTCACAATAGCTTGCATTTAAAAACAAAAAACTTTTTCACTGTTATAGATTGAATAGTGTTAGTTGTCTGCCACTGCTGCCAGCTTCTGTGTCAGGCTCACAGTGGATACTGTGCCCATTTGCCCAGTCAGTGCCACCACTCATATCTGGTGTCACAATAGCTTGCATTTAAAAACTAAAAACTTTTTTCACTGTTATAGATTGAATAGCAGTTAGTTGTCTGCCACTGCTGCCAGCTTCTGTGTCAGGCTCACAGTGGATACTGTGCCCATTTTCCCAGTCAGTGCCACCACTTATATCTGGTGTCACAATAGCTTGGATTTAAAAA